AGCGGCTTGGAACAGCTTTGTCGCAGTGGTTCGTGGCTTCCTGGGCAATGACAAGGTCGAAAACTATGTGGAGCTGGTTGAGACTCTGGTGAAGAACTACGGCACAATGGGCTGTAGGATGCCCCTCAAAGTCCATATCCTTGATGCTCATCTTGATAAATTCAAGGAGAAGGGAGCGTACTCGGAGGAGCAAGGCGAGCGCTTCCACCAGGATATACTGAGACTTTGAACGCCGCTACCAAGGACAGTAGAACGAGAACATGATGGGAGACTACATTTGGGGGCTGAATAGTGAAAGTGATTTACAGTATAATCGTAAATCTCGAAAAACTACTCATCTCTAAATCTTTTGTAGTAGTTTTTGTATTACTTTAGCATAAATACATGTTAATTTTGATTCATATGTTTTTTCTGACTTTATGTGAACGAAAAGACACACATTCGCCCGTTTTTTCATTGAAAATAGGCAAATTTCAAAATATCAATGTATTGGTCACAAAAGCAAAGTTTTTGGGGAATAATAGCAATTTTCTATACTTTTTAGGCATGATCAATTAGGAAATAACACTTACTACCCAAGATCATAAATTGTGTTACGCCCCTGGTGTTGGTGGCCGTGAAACGGTAATCGAACTCACGACGCTGGGTGCGTAGCGCGCCTACCGCACACACAAAAAACAAAGATCCCCCCGTAGAGCCTTAACACGCTGTTGTTGGGACAAGTGCTGTTACCGAGCGCACACACACACACACGTGCACACAAACAAACACACACACGTGCACACACGTGCACACGCATTCACATACTCGAGCCCTGCACTGCCACAGGGCTACGGGGTCGCGGGCTGACCCAAGCTGGTTTGGTTATATTGAGGCGACGTGGGTTTTATCCGGATTTGCCTGGGTTACTGTTCCTCCGAAGTCAAAGCCATAAAAACCTCACGCATGAGCGGTTTGCGTTCAGAACACAGCGTGTGAAGTCGCTTTACCGCATGCATACGTACATACATACATACAAATATACTTACAAACATACATACATGCACACCCGCGCGCACACACGCAGAACCAACGTTCAACAATGTAAACCTTGTCCGAAAGAATTATCGCGCGTAATTAAGTCGGCGCCTAACTTTCTGAACCAACGCACAGAATAGCAACAATAACAACAACAATATCACCAAGCAACTCAACGCATCTTCGTCAAAAGCAGTATCCGGTTTTAGAACGACGAAGCCGATGATCATTTCAACTTGTAATGCTGCTCGCTCGCTCGCTCTCCCAGTGTCCTCTCGCAGCGCGAGCGAGGGAGGACGTAGGGGACGACTCAGAGGTGCGAGGAGGAGGAGGAGGGACCACAGACAAGGAACGGGGAGCTAGCAGCAGGAGCCAGGCCAGAGGCCAAGCCCTGCGGCCCCCTCTATATATTAAGACATTGATGTTGAGTGCCTACACTACGTGGGGTGGACAAGCGGAGAGAACCACCCACGCCTTGTGCCAGGGAGCCAACGCTCTCCAGAGCCAGCGGTTCTTACGCCTTTACTGCAGACTTGGTTCTGAATTGTAAAAAAAATATAAACAACAACAACAACAACAACAACGTAGCATGTTAATAATAAATAGACAGGGGTTGGGGAAACAAAGCCGTTGCACTCACGTGTCCGTGCTTAATCGGTCTCTCGATGATTCACCTTCTAAACAGAAAACCTGGCCATGTCTCGCACCCCCAGGGAGGGCATCTCGTACCCCCAGGGGGATGCGTGTGCACCCTCAGGTTCACAACCCCACTGCTCTCGAGGCTATCACATTCAGAAGGCAGAGTCAACATTCGCGCTGCGCCGCCGCCTCCTGGCCGAGCCGAGGGTATGGCGGGCGCCTCCTCGAAGTCCAACCCACGCGAAGAAGGAAGTTTCACAACGTCTCTGTGTGTGGTGCGGTGATCCACCAACCCTGCCTGCTACCTCCGCAGTGCTGGATTGCAAGTGCAGCAGCGTGGCGACCACACCACCACTACCGGCTGCGAAATATTAAAAAATCCATAAATCTTGAGACTCTATTGAGGATTTTTTTGGATAAAAAAGGAATAATTAATTATATTATTATTCACGTAAAAATATCCAATGCACTCGTCAATAACACTGTGGCCTTAAGAGGGGAAAACATATACAATGTGGCGTTTCTGGCAACAGCCCTTCTTCAATAGAGGTGCGATGATTAATGTAACCTCTTATTGATGATTCGATCAATTGTCGTGATGCACGGTCTCGGGCTCGATTCGAGATGGTAACAATTTTAAAATATATATGTATAATAACACTTTGCGCTAGCGGCCACTAGTGGCTGCAGGAGAGGACTCACCTGAAGTCTTTGGGGATAAACAACAACTCCGAGTTAGAAGGTTCAATGAGACTTCAAGTGTAGTCACGCAGCGCCCCCGTGTGGATGTCTCTGCGCAGTGCAGGTAAGGGGTGGACAGTACTGTGTTGTTCATTCTTGATTTGACACCGTTGGAGGAATCCGATGAGCTATGAAGCTCTTTTTCGCAGATGTCCAGCAGGGACGGCTCTAGCAAAGTAACCACAACAAACAATACCAAAAAAACCGACGGGAGTGTAAAGTAGAGAAAAGATAAGAAACCTGACTCCACATACAGATGAATACAATCTAGAAGTATTATTTGCACGAGTACATACATTCCTGACGATGTTTCAACACCGAATGCGAGCTTGGGCCAGGCAATAAACAACTAAAACAGTCCTCGAGACCGCTCTGAGACCACGCACAGTAGTCCCGCAATTTAATTGCACACATCAACATTTGCAAATGTTTAGCACGCAGGAGGCTGTAGCGACCGATATCATCCATTAGAGAGGTGTTCGGTTCAGGTCGCGTAAATATATAAACGCGTCGGTAAAACTCGTCAACACATCTACGCCTCTATATAGGGAACTAAACAGGTGGACTTCTCCACAAGTCTGGCTGTCGCCTGATGAAGTTGGTTGTAATTACTGACGAAACGTCGTACTCTGATTGTAAATGTTGTGGCTTGGCTCTCCAACACACAACCGGCGTGCTGTACTAGTGACGAATTGGCCACGATCTGTTTACAAGACAACCCTTACTAGTTGGCTGTGTCGGGTGGTGGCGGGTTTTAACGACACATTTCAATATTTACGCCATCTATCCCCAAAAAAAACCTCTATTCTGGATTTGCAAATGTGTTTGCATCCAGGCACGAATCCTCTGCTTCGGCGTCTTTTTTTGAACGAGCTGAGCCGCCGTGGTTGGAGTGAAAACGTGAACCCGACGTCATTCCGGAATGAACTCCAGGCGCATGGTTTCCCAAACTCCAGTCCTCGCGGCCCCGCCACCACCACGCTCCGCCTTTTACAAATTAACTCGTCCCACGCTGCACGCGCCCGATGATTGCTAAACACGTCCCACGCGACACGCGAAGCAATTCACGTTGATGCCACCACCGCCATCTATTGCGCAGCGGATGTACTTATGACTGTCGGTCGGAACATACGGACGAGGTTTGTTCGTATCTCTGAACGTTCGTAAGTCGAATGTTCTCAAATAGAGGGGGAGACATTCAGCACTTAATCGCCATCTCATGGCAACAACTCTGCAGTCCCCGTCACCTGGAAAGCCCTGGTGGCGAACGATCCAAGTGCTAACCAGGCTCAGACATGCTTAGCTTCCGAGGTATGGGCGAATTCAGGGTAACTTTGGTCACAGGTTAAATTTACGGAAATATTCATTTGTGTGTTCCAGCCGGTCCTCTACGCTCGCAATCTGGACCATCCCTTCCCGTGCCTACCTCGCCCTGCTGCGCACAGCCTCGCTCTCTCGTCCCTTCTCCCTTTCCGATCCTATTTCACTGGAACCAACTCCCACTGGAGTACACAGAGCAATCATCTTCAGGATAACAACAACAGCAACCTGCAGCTTCCGTTCCTCCCGAAAAACAACCCCCATCGCTTCTCCCCTCGCCCATCCTGTAGCCGCTACACCCTGCCCCTCGGTTACGACCAGGCATGCCTCTACCCCAACCCCTATCACTACCACTACCCCTATCACTACCACTACCCCTATCACTACCACTACCCCTATCACTACCACTACCCCTATCACTACCACTACCCCTATCACTACCACTACCCCAACCCCTATCACTACCACTACCCCTATCACTACCACTACCCCAACCCCTATCACTACCACTACCCCAACCCCTATCACTACCTCTACCCCTATCACTACCACTACCCCTATCACTACCTCTACCCCAACCCCTACCACTACCCCTATCACTACCACTACCCCAACCCCTATCACTACCACTACCCCTATCACTACCACTACCCTAACCCCTATCACTACCACTACCCCTATCACTACCACTACCCTTATCACTACCACTACCCCTATCACTACCACTACCCCTATCCCAATCCCTATCACCACTCTTACCCCAACCCCTACCACTACCTAACCCCTATGTACACCCCTACCCCTACCACTACCCCAGTTGGAGGCAGTCGCCCTCCAGCAACAACGGAGAGGCAGAGGAGCGACGCTCACAACAATGAGCGGAGCGACGGGCGACTAAAATGCAGCAAATTGGCACAGTGGGGGGTACAGATGGTGGTGCGTCTACCGGTCGTCTGAGTCAGCCAACCCGTGGCACCCGGGTCTGTCCCGAGACCCCCTGTCAGCGAGCCCTCGTCACTTCACGTGGCCTCAAAGTGCACCTAGCCTGGCACAGACGCCGCGATGACGCCACCGTCACTTAGGTGGCGAATGGCGAGGGTGTTGTGGCATTGGCCACAGCGAGGCGCGCTGCGCTCACGTTTGACGGTGAAAACCGGGGCACGATACGAAAAAAAAACACATTTTTTTCGCAAGCGTCTGAAAATTCTCCCCGCGTCACCGCCACCATCGTCACCTCAAGCCAAGGACAGACAACGGTGCTTTGCGACTCGAGTCCAAATGTGAAGGCGTGAACTTAGCCTCACGCGCCCCCCCCCCCCCCCCAGCCGCTCACCACTCCCCACCGCAACTCCCACCACGCTCATCCTCACCACGATCACCACCACCCAACCACCACCACCATCCTCTGAGAGTTACGTCATCGCCGCTCAGGTGAGTTCGTCTGAAGCAATGGGCGAGTGTCGTAGCCGTCTCGTGAGCGAGTGGAAGGCCGGGCGCATCGGGATTTGCGTGGTCGCCCGAAATATGTGGGTGAATAGTATTAGTATTCCTACAAAATAAGGGTCATTGCCCGAAACGTCGTCTAATGTATATATTTGCGTTTAATGCCACGTTGTTATTTACGGATACATTTCTCTTTTGTTGTTTCTTCTCATCGTTATCATTATTATTATCATTGCGCTATTATTATGGGCAATTGCTTCATGGAAAGTGCGTGCGTGTGTAGGTTGTTCGCGTGTGTCCGTACGTTCATCGAGTATCAATGTGAACGTTCATGAATTATGACGAAGTGCTGGCCAGGCGAAGGAGATGGAGCGATGAAATTGAGCTCGTGTCGAGAGGTGCTGGGCGGATTGTTACATCGCAGGAGCGTGAGAGATCGTGACACCAGTGGGCCAATCACGGCTTATGATGATGAAGATTGATGAATATGTCAATTAGGTGTTCATAATATTGATCGGAGCTCGCCAAATAGTAATTGCCCCTACAGTCTATATGGCCATATGAGACATCTTTGTGTCTGTGTTTCATGCCGAGTGGGGAGCGGTGGTACAATGGTTAGCGCACTGCACTCTGCACACGGGTGACACTGAGTTCGATTCCCAATCACGGCCACCAACATCGCTGAGTGACATCCGAACCGATCCTGTGCCTCCCCTAGGTCGGCTCAGCCTTGAACGAGTACCTGGTGAGATTTGTAAACACCAGCATGGGGGAGACAAAGACGGTCGTGCGTGGGGCTTGCCACCCACCCCCTCTTCGTGTGCCCTGCGGCCTTAATAGTTGCTCGCTATCAGCACTTTCCCCCATCACCTTTTGAAGTCTACACGGGGGATCGTCGTGGGTTCGATGCTGACCCTTGACGCCTGCTGTATATTTGGAGTGTGCATGTCTCTTTCCCCGTGGTTAAGGTGGATTTATCTCCGGGTTCTCCCGATTTACCCTCCACATTTAGAAACATGCGTTTAGAGTATCTGGCTGAAATATATTTCCACTCGATAAGCCACTTCGTTGTGCTATCGTTTGTGATAGCCTGGTCGCTTCTGAAATAAAAAGCGCTATGCAGCTCAGTGGGCCTTACCCGGTATAAAAAAAAAAACATTCGTATCTTTCGTCGTTACCTTGTCACCTTCCTGTGGGCTTTAAGGTCACGCCAGGCGAATCACCCGGTTCATTGGAGTCGAATCACCTGGTTCACTGATCACGGGGATCCCATATTTGTAATATAATTCCAGATTTGTATATAATGCCATATTTGTATATAATCCCATATTTGTATATAATCCCATATTTGTATATAATTCTCACCTGGTTAGAGGCGAATCACCTGGTTCATTGGAGGCGACTCACCTACTTCACTGATCGCGGGGATCCCATATTTGTACGCGTTATGCGCGAGACCCATGGCATGCAGGCCGAGGCTGCCCTCTGAGCGAAACCGATCACGGTTCCAGCGCACGCGCAGTTTGGAATCCAACGTCAAAGAATTCGACGGGCGATCAGAACGTTTCAGTTGTAAGCATCGACTCGGAGAGAACGCGTTGGAAATAGCAGCACAAGACGCCTCCGCAAGTAGACAACGCCAGCCGGAGGCGAGAAACCACCGTGACATTTGCTCTTACACCTTTAATGGACATGGGGTTAAACACCGCGACCCTCTGAAACGTGTCGACTGTAGAGCAACTTTGACCCATATTTTCTCATTTCCGGCCGGCGTTTGCCACTGTAGATGAGTCTTACAGTGCTATTTTCATCATCGTCATCTACTCTAGTCTACCGTAGTTGGCTCTCTATTCCTTCCGGAACATCATTAGAATGCACAACAGCCACTCACTCACTCGATCACTGGTGGTATTGTGCGGAAGTCGTAAGACTTGATCCTTGGCGTGCTGTGCGCTGGCCTTGGTGCTGAAAATAAATGAAACCAACAAAATGTTGGAACCCGTGGCATGAACACCACGAGAAGGGGTGTTGAGTCAACTATATAATATATGGGGGTGGGGACGAGAGAAAGGAACGAGAATATAAAATATAAATACTGGGAAAATACGTGGAAAAGGATGGAAAAATAACGGGAAAACAGAAGCAAAGGGCTAGGAAACAGCAAGGACAGAGAGAGTGAGGCTACATCAGGGCCTCGACGCTGCTGCTGCTGTTTTCAGAGGGGGCGGCGGGGAGACGGGAGGCAGGGTGGGTGTGGCCACACAGAAGTCACGTGATTTACGGGAGGCTTTGAGCTTTGAGCTTATCGCACCCTTTCACGTGCGCGTCTGTGGCCGTCTGGAATGCTCTTCCTTGCCATATTAGGAAGCCACTGGAGCATATGCACTCGTAAATCTAAATTGAAAACTAATTTCTTTAGGACTGCTCTTTTGTGTTTAGTTTGTTGTCCTTCCCCCTGCACCTCCGATATTTTGGCAGTCCGCGCCAGTGATGAATGAAACACAGCAACGTTTTACGGAGAAAGCCATTTCGTTCCTTACATGCGCTTGTGCGGTTGTCTGGAGTGCTCTTCCTTCCGATATTAGGAAGCCACTGGAGCCTATGCACTCTTAAATCTAATTTGAAAACTAATTTCTTCAGGACTGCTTTTCTGCGTGTGTTTAGCGTGCTGCCCTTGCCCGGCACCTCCGCTCAGCGCGTTTGGCTACGTACCGTGCGAAATAAGTTCAACGCACTGCAACGTGGGTACATCCTCCCACACCCCACCGACATGCGCGAGTGACGGAAATTGAAGCCGACTCCTCGACAGCGCAGCCCGCCAGAAACGTGGCCGCCTCGCGCGTTGACGTAGAGTCACGTTAGCGTCACAATCACTGGAGCAGGCGAATCGCTGGAACATAACTCGTTCCAATGATAACAGAAATCATAGTGAAATACAAAATAACAACTACGGACCACATAGTGAGCCACTATGGCCAGCGCTCCTTCAATGGAGGAAGAGGAGGAACATCTGCGGAAAAAAAGAGCTTTATAGCTCATCGGATTCCTCCAGTATAAATAAATATTTTGATTCTGAAAACGACACGAACTCTCTCTCCCTCTCTCTGCTGAAGCCCTCTCGTCGTGGCCAGCAGCATCAGCGACAGACCTCGACATTGGCATCGAGCTCCTGCTCCACAGCGCTGCCGCCATCATACGCAAGAGTAGAATACTAACAACATCGTAAGAACAAAATAGCAAAACATGTATTTATTGCCTGAACATGTCGAGTAGAGCTGTGACGATCGAGTCGATTAATCGACTTCAGAATTAGTCGATTATTAAAAGAAATTCACTCGTCGGTGGCTACCCCATGCATCCTGCCTGCCGAAGGTGGGAAACCCCTCCCTCCCAGCACCCCCCCCCCCAAAGTCACGCCCAGTTCGACTCGGCTGACTATGCGGATGACGTCAACATGCCCCCCAGCCCCCCACACCCAAACTAAAACTCTAAAAAAATGTTTTACCAGGTAAGGCCCACTGAGCTATATAGCTCTTTTTTCAGAATCGACCTGGCCACAAACGATAGCTAAACCGATTGGCTAATCACGTGGACATTTATAGCAACCAAATACTCTCAACGCATGTTGACTCTAAATGTGTGTGGGGGGGGGGGACTGGAGGACCCAGAGAAGAATCCACACGACCACAGGGAGAACACTCGACATATAGAGCAGGCGTCAAGGTTGGGATCGAACCCACGACCTCCTGTATACCAGGCGAGGTAGTTAACATCTCCTAGCCACCATGGCGCTCCCAACCCATTTATTATCTCGCCAACATTTTCTCGTCTGGCATGACGATAACAACATTCGTCATCATCAAGAGCCACGATCTTATCCGCTGCTGAATGAAGGCCTCCTCAAGCCAAGCCGTCGAAATCTCTCACGATCCTGCAATGTATTAATCCGCCTAAGCACCGGCACGCATGTTACTTTCATTGCTCCATCTCTTTACGGGACATACCGCACAACAATCCTACATCCCGGCAGTAAGCATGCAAAGTTGGGCCAGCTTTGGCGCGTGGTTGCAACAACGTTGGTCCAACGTTGCACGGTTACTGACATAGTCGATGGATTTCACAAACGACGATTCGAGGCATGTATTGTGAACGTAATTTTTTTTGCGAAATCGATTAATCGATACGTGATCGGCGGCCAGCAAGCGCACTGACCTCCAACATTGCGCAGACGCCCGTTGCAGTTTCGGCACAACGTTCAAGCAACGTTTTGGCAGTGGCGTTATGAAGCCGAATATTAGACACGTCCAGCGCCGTGTCTCTGTGGGGTTTTCTTCAGTGAGAGCCGTGTGCCAAAAAGGTCAAACCATTAGCACGGTTCCATTCCCCTTGCTCGCTGTGGTGCGTGTTAATGGAGCCGGTGGATCTTGGTGATATGCACTCGGAAAATCATCCAATGGTGATTCAGTCATATGGGTATACTGCACATTTATATGACTCACTGTGTGTGTGTGTATCTGTGGGGAGCGGTGGTGTAGTGGTTTAGCGCGCTGCGCTACGAACCCGGCGACACACGTTCGATTCCCGCTCGCGATCGATAACAGTGGCGAATATCTGAACCGGTCCTGGGCCTTCGCCAGGTCGACTCAGCCTCAAATGAGTGCCTGGTGTGGTGTGTAAACATCGCTACTTGGGAGACAAAGGCGGCCGGCTGTGGTGCTGGCCACCCACCCCCTCGTGTGTGCCGTTCCGGCCATCATAGGTGCTCGCTAACAGCACTTGCCCCAGACCCAGGTTGCGTCTGACACATCAACACCGTCCCTAGGTCAGCTTAGCCTTAAATTAATAATTGGCACGGTGTGTACTACACCAGCACTGGGGATGTTCTGTCCACTCCACCACCCTCGTGCACCTTAATAGGTGCTCGCCAAAAGCACTCCACTCTGTAACGATAGGGGATTTATGTCTGTGTGTGTGTATGTGTGATTATGTCTTTGTGTGTGTGATTATGTCTTTGTGTGTGTGTGATTATGTCTTTATGTGTGTGATTATGTATTTGTGTGTGTGATTATGTATTTGTGTGTGTGATTATGTCTGTGTGTGTGATTATGTCTTTGTGTGTGTGTGTGTGATTATGTCGTTGTGTGTGTGTGTGATTATGTCTTTGTGTGTGATTATGTCTGTGTGTGTGATTATGTCGTTGTGTGTGTGATTATGTCTTTGTGTGTGTGATTATGTCTTTGTGTGTGTGTGTGATTATGTCTTTGTGTGTGTGATTGTCTGTGTGTGTGATTATGTCTTTGTGTGTGTGATTATGTATTTGTCTGTGTGTGATTATGTCTTTATGTGTGTGATTATGTCTTTGTGTGTGTGTGATTATGTCTGTGTGTGTGATTATGTCTTTGTGTGTGTGATTATGTCTTTGTGTGTGTGTGATTATGTCTTTGTGTGTGCGATTATGTCTTTGTGTGTGTGTGAGTATGTCTTTGTGTGTGATTATGTCTCTGTGTGTGTGATTATGTCTGTGTGTGTGATTGTCTTTGTGTGTGTGTGATTATGTCTTTGTGTGTGTGTGATTATGTATTTGTGTGTGTTATTATGTGTTTGTGTGTGATTATGTCTCTGTGAGTGTGATTATGTCTGTGTGTGTGATTATGTCTTTGTGTGTGTGTGATTATGTCTTTGTGTGTGTGTGATTATGTATTTGTGTGTGTGATTATGTCTTTGTGTGTGTGCGATTATGTCTCTGTGTGTGATTATGTCTGTGTGTGTGATTATGTCTTTGTGTGTGTGTGTGATTATGTCTTTGTGTGTGTGATTATGTATTTGTGTGTGATTATGTCTTTGTGTGTGTGATTATGTCTCTGTGTGTGTGATTATGTCTGTGTGTGTGTTTGATTATGTCTTTGTGTTTGTGTGATTATGTCTTTGTGTGTGTGTGTGATTATGTCTGTGTGTGTGATTATGTCTTTGTGTGTGTGATTATGTCTTTGCGTGTGTGATTATGTCTGTGTGTGTGATTATGTCTTTGTGTGTGTGTGATTATGTCTTTGTGTGTGTGCAATTATGTCTGTGTGTGTGATTATGTCTTTGTGTGTGTGATTATGTCTGTGTGTGTGATTATATCTTTGTGTGTGTGTGTGATTATGTCTTTGTGTGTGTGATTATGTCTTTGTGTGCGTGTGATTATGTCTTTGTGTGTGTGATTATGTCTTTGTGTGTGTGCTGGCCACCCACCCTCTCGTGTACAGTGCTGGCCTTCATAGGTGCTCGCTATCAGCATGTGTCCCAGCAGTCTGTTAAGGCTCCACCGGTAATCGTTGTCTTTGTGTGAGTAAACATCGCCACTCGGAAGGCAAATGCGGTCGGGCGTGGTGCTGGCCACCTAACCCCTCGTGTGCCGTGCCGGCCTTCATAGGTGCTCGCTAACATCACTTACTCTCACAATCTATTCAAGGCTATATGGGTAACATTTGTCTGTGTCTGTATACGGCGGCCCGGCGTGGTTCTGACCACCATACCGCATCCTCGTGCACCGAGGACGAAGGGGGGGGACTACTTTAATAGGCGCTCGCTGACAGCAGCCCAGTCAGTAAGGCTAGACAGAGGGTCTCTGTGTGTGTGAGTAGAGAGCGAGTGAGTCTGTGTGTGTGTGAGAGTAGTGGCTGCGTGCGTGCTCTCACTGCAGATGTTCCTCTCTCCGTGCGTGACGCATTGAGGAGCCGCCAAGATCCCCGTGCGCATTGCTCACGGCACGGGGTGGGTGGGGTAGGTGGGTGGCGTGTGGTGGGTGGCGTGGGGTGAGTTGGTGGGTGGGTGGGTGGGGGAGGCGGGGAGCTGCACCACGAACCCGACGACCCCGAGTTCGATTCAGGCTCACGGGCCACATAGCTGGGTAACGACCATCTTAAACCGCTCGTGGGCCTCCCCTAAGTTGACGCAGCCTCAAACGAGTCCACGGTGCGCTGGTGTAAGCATTGGCACTGGGGCAGGTAGCAGCGATAGGGCGTGGTGCTGGCCACCCACCCAGTCGTCAGTGTACCGTCCCGGCCTTCATAGGTCCTTTCCAGCAGCACTTGACCCCTCAATCAATTTAAGGCTATACGGGGGATCTTTACCTTTAAGAGGGTTGGGGGACGTAGGGGGGGGGTGGTATAAGTGAGGGCGAGGAAGTTGGTGACACAGTAGCGAAGGAGGTTATGAGATGCTGGTGGTGTTAACGTTTCAAGTTCATTTGTTTAACCAGGTGGGAGCTCCAGGGAACAGGATGAGTCATATTTGCCAGTCAGGAGGGCGATGATTCGCGAGCACCTATTAAGGGTGGCATGCCACACACACACACACAAAATCAAATGTCTGTCCTGTAGCCTTTAATAGACTGTTGGGGCAAGTCCTGCTAGCAAGCACCTATTAAGGATGGCACGGCACACTAAAGACAAATACAAAGATCCCCCTGTGTAGCCTCCACTGGCTGTTGGGGCAAGTGTTGGTAGCGAGCACCTATGAAGGCCGACACGGCACAACATGGGGTGGCCAGCACCACCCTCCCCCCCCCGGCCGACTTTGTCTTCTCAATGCTGGGTCGACTCAGCTAAAAGGCTGAGTCGACCTTGGAGTAGGCCCAGGACCGGTTCAAATATTCGTCACTGTTGAATGTTGAACTTCTTTCGCACCGTCCGTAGCCAACCGTGCTAATCAGAGGTGCTTGTTATCGGTCAAGAGAGGGAATCAAACTCGGGTGGTCGGGTATGTGGCGCGGCGCGCTAGCCACTACACTGCCGCTCCACGCGTGCATTAAGAGGAAGACTGCAGAACACTGCACACTATGTACACTACTTCATAAAAGATTTAGAGATGAAATTGCTACTCCATTACAATAATGTGCAGACCAAAAAAATCATTCAATTTAACCCTTTTGCCGCCGTAGCAATGCGAGTATATAAATGAAACAATGAAGCGTTTTAACGTCACCTGGTTTATTTTTTAACCAACCACGCACATTGACCACCGCGGTGAAGTATGGCCAAACAGTTAAACGTACACGGCGCGGGGAGAAAGCCTTCCATACAGCAGTAGATTGAGACAGGGCTGTAGATTATGATGCCACGTGCTCCTTCCCCCGCCCCGCTCCCCAGCAAGGATGATCCCTTGAGTCTTAAGACTCATTGTTCAAGAGGCTCCTGCTAACATTTGGGAGGGAGGGGGGGTGGTTGAAGGGAACTGGACTCAAACGCGAGGGCGATAAACTCAACGGTTCGCTTTTCAGACAGGTTCGCGATCCTACTTTCTGCACTGCACTTCCCTGGCCCGGACCGCAGGCGTGAATAGCCACCACTCTCCCAGATCATTATCGCCTGCATCAATGTGCATAAGAATTCGAATAATCATCATCGTCATCATCATCTGAATCACTTGGATGGCCACGTGTGAGCGACAGCACCTCATCCTTAGACCAGCGGTTCTTCTTCTTAACCAGGGGGTGCACGCTGCACCTCCTGGGGGTGCGAGATGCCCTTTATGGGGGTGCGAGACACGGCCAGATTTTTTGAGAAGGTAAACCATCGAAACACAAATTAAGCACGGGCACGTGAGTACAACTACTTTGTTGCTTTATCAAACCCAATGTATCGGGTGGTGGCGGCTTTTAGCGACACATTTATATATTTACGCGATCTAACCCCCAAAAAAACCTCTATTATTTATTAACATTATAATCGTTTTTACGATTAAGAACCAACGGGGCGCAAGGTTGCAGTCAAGGTTAAGAACCACTGCCTTAGAGTTTATCATTACTCATCATTATCATCATCATCATAGTAACATCCTGATTGGTAATCATTATCCATCTTCATAATCATTCTAATATCATAGCCACCCGAGTCGGATGGCTCAGCGTTAGGGAGCGGTCGTGGATTGACTCAGCACATCATCCTTCCTCTGGGATGAATAAAATAGGTACCACTTTGTGGGCAAGTAAAACTGTGATTGTCCTCTGCAAAGACTCGCCCCGTCATAGTAATGTGGAATTTCACCAGTGGCTCAGGAGATGAGCAGCGCCTCGATGCTCATCATTTGAGCAGAAACTCACGTGAACGTTTAACTTTAATCATCAGCATCATTTTCAAATTGTATTATTATTGTAATAGGTTTTACCCTTTAAACTGGCACAAAAACTGACACCTTTATTCAAGGCATCATGTTTGCAATAACCACAACACAAGCAGTCAAAATGCAAGCAAAAGAATTATTGCAAACATGATGCCTTGAATAAAGGTGTCAGTTTTTGTGCCAGTTAAAAAGGGTAAAATCTATTACTATATCTTGTTACCGGCAAAGGAGGTCTCATAATGTATTATTATCCAGTTCATCTCCACCACGTGGACAATCGCAAGCGTGTAACCACGACACCCGCTCTTAACCCAACCTCTTTGCTCCACCCTCTTCTCTTCTGCCACTCTCATCTCCAGTCCAACCCGCACACCCCACACACCCCGTCTCCTACCCACCCTTCCTCCTCCTGCCCCTACTATATCCACCCGCCCAGCCCAAACCTTCCCAATCATCATCATCATCATCACCACCGCCACCATCATCATCATCATCATCGTCTGGCCACATAGGCGGGCGCGTCGTCGCCTCGAAGCCACGGCGATCAGGAGGCGCCGGGTCGCATGGCACGCGAGTTCTGCGCCACCGCCGCGGACATTGTAGCCGGGAACGCCGAGCGAAGGGCTCGTGAAGGTCGCAGTGCGTCGTTCGGCCGTAGCCCGGAGTCCAACCTCTGCGCCAACACTGCGGGGGTCAGCGGCGGTGGTGGTGGTGGCAGTGGCGGTGGCGGTGCAGGAGGAGGAGGCGGCGGTGGTGGTGGTGGCGCTGGCGCTGAACTCCAGGCGGCGTCATTCGCGTGCGCGTGCCTGAGCGCGGCTCTGCTCGCTGTCATCGCCGTGTTCCTCGCCGCGTTTCTGTTCGGCGTCGCCGGCGTAGCCGTCGGCTGGTTCTCACGCTCCGTCCGAAGGCGTCGCTCATGCGGAGAAAGTGAACCGCATCATCATCATCAGCAGCAGCAGCAGCAGGAGCAGGAGCATCATCATCAGCACCACCATCAGCAGCAGCGGGAGCAGCAGGAGCATCATCGTGAACGTGAATTCTGCAAGCGCAACAGAGCAACGCGATCTCGCTTGCCGGAGAGAGGTGAGCCCGATTCTGTATTGGTTTCATTGCCTGCTAAGTGTTCAACTCGGCCACTGTTATGAATTTTTTTACGTGTTAAAATGTGGCTGCTGCCGCTGCTGCTGCTGATGGTGGTGGTGATGATGTTGATGATGCTGCTGCTATTGCCGACTCACACGCGCAGAGACAACATGGACGGCAGCTGTTGGTCAGTCGACCTTTCCCTGCCTGAGCCTTTACGTAAATATTCACCCCCCCTCTTCATTCGCATTGCAATTCTTGCAAACGAAATGCGTTTTTGTTGTTGTGTACGTATGGGCGTTTCTGCTATTGATCATGCGGATGATGATGATGATTTTGCAATGGGATGCGAAGGAAGATGGTGCATTCCGGTGGAATGCGTCCTCGCGAGCTGTGTGTTTGTGTTTTATGATTTACGTTGCCTCCCCCCCCCCCCCCTGTATGGATATGAGAGATTAGCTCATTAGAATTTACGAGAGTGGGCACGTGAGTGCTCGTGTTTTTGTGCGCGAATTAATGCAGCCATGGTGACATTAGCTCATACCTCATGGACATGCATTACCGATCCTGGTGTTTAAAAATAACAAGGCAAATTGATCGGCACATTTACACAGGTTAAACCCATTCGCAAGCAACATTTAATCATCGTCCATGATCAATCCACTGCTGGATGAAGCCCCTCCCCCCGTTTGCCGTCGCAGCTTCTCGCGCGGTTGTGCGGGGATCCATCCACACACCAGCGCACGCACATCGCTCCATCTCCCTGTGCGTACACAGGGCCGCCCCGAAAGTCTGGCCCGCATGCGGTCATTATGCTGCATTCATTTCAACAAATCACGCATGTTTGTTGAATTTATTTCAACGGATGTGCAAATCGACTGCCACTTGACACTAATGCGTGATGCATGAATTATCCTCTGGCGTTAATTTTAGAATCTTTTTATATTCACGCATGCAGCTGTGTAATCTCTGAGCCTTCATCGATTATGATTTGTCGCCATAATTCACTCGGTCGAGTTTCGTCAACGACGGATTTGGGGCGACCCCACAGTAAGAATCAACACTAGATATTGATAATGATAACTAGACATTGAAAATAAGAGCCGCTCAAAAAATCTACAATTAAAATATTCTAATGCCAGTGTGAAAATAAATGAAATAACCCCGTGCGTCCTGACAATTAGCGTTGTATTAAAATATCAATTGTATGGCTTAATTGCACAGGTGTGCTGTTGGTGGACCTAATTAAACTCGCTCAGGCTGAGCAAGTAACGGGAGCGCCTAGGTGGAGTGTGAAAACGCTTCATCACTACACACTCATTACTCATTCCGAAATCAATTTGTTATCACAGCTGAAGTCATCATCATCATCACCATCATCATCAATACTTCACTTCCGAATACAGTAAGGCGTATCTGTTGAGTCACTGTTTTCGCTCCTTGATTGGTTAATATCAAAATGTAATCATCATAATGCAGCCATGGTCTATCAACTGCTGGATGAAGGCCTCCCCCAATCCATCGCGCCACCTCTCACAACCCTCCAGCGAAGTAACGATTCAACCCTGCACCTTGCACACTGATTTCATAGCTCCATCTCCGCGATGTACGTGTTCCAACTCGTGAAAGAATCGCGTGGAAGGAGGCAATGGCTTAGTCATGGCTCGCGATGATTATGATGCGTTTTAACCACAACATGTTCTGCAAATGCAGGCGTGTGACGTCGCCACTTGCCTATCCCCCCCCCCCACCCCCCCCCCGGCCAGAATGGTACAGGCAACACGCACACAGATTGTAGGGATGTTGGAATGTTCCATTCGGTGAATAGGAGTAATATCAATGAGTGGTCTGGGTGTAGCTATAGTCAATCTTTGACGTTTCAGCCACAGCACATATTTCAAATAATACATCATTAATATTAAACAAATATATCTCAACATCAATACAATAAAAATGCGATGTTCTCAACCGAATCGCCCTCAACGCAACCCATCTCGCTGTATCTCGACCTAAAGCAGGGTCGAGACTGGTGTTAGTACTTGGATGGGAGACCACCTAGGAATACCAGGTGTTGTAGGCTTAACCTGCGAGGTGGTTGTGAGATCTCAGTACGGTCGTGAAATCCTGATGATGGCGGTGATGATGATCGCGAGATTTAAATGAATTTGGGAGAGAAAAAAACCCACAAACATCATTGTTACATCATTAAAATATCCCTGTCCTGTCATTTGCAGATTCTCCCAGTCACAGGGCTATGACTCCTCCCGACCACGAGGTGAGTTCATCCAATCACAATCATCATCAACAGCCATGCTCGGTCCACTGCTGGATGAAGGCCCGCCTTCATCAGCACTCTAAATAGACCCCGGTCGACCCGAGTGCGATTCCCGCCCCACTGCAAGCATCAGTGGCGAGCGGTATCTGAACCTGCCCCCACCGCCTTTGCCAACGCACGCTGGCGTATAAGTGGTGAAGTATGGTCGAACATTCCGCTTCACGTGGCGGGGGAAGGGGGGGGGAGGAGTGGTGGTTTCATCCAGCAGTGGATTGACAAACGGGCGGAAAAAAACTACCATTGGTATTAATGCCACGATGTGAGAGGCACTTTTCTAACCCGAGGCGCTAAAAACGTGAATTTAGGATTCTTAATTGGGGGTCAGATGGTCTGAGCAAAATGTGTGTTGTACACCCTCCTCCACCCGAAAGCGAATCAATAGATAGGTCACGTGATGAACAAACACGCCAATTAATTACCGCTTCAGCAGCACCACCGGGATTATTGGAGAGCGATCCACACACACACACGATTGAGCAATTTGATGCTACGCTTCGCTGGTAGTTACAACCAGCATCATCAGGCAGGTGCCAGAAATCTAGATTTCTGATAGCGCGTATGTGTGCGCGTGTTAATCTACAAACCCGGCGACCCGAGTTCGATTCCCGCTCATGGCGAACACCAGTGACGATTACTTGAACCAGTACTGGGCCTCCCCTAGGACGACTTGGCAGCGTCAAATGAGCAAGCTGGTGCGTTGTGTGAACATCGCCACGCGGTAGACAAAGGCAGCCGGGCGTGGTGCTGGCCACACACCCCATCGTGTTCCGTGCCGGCCTTCGTAGGTGCCACTCGTCAACAACACTTTTTCCGCGGCAGTACATGAAGGGCTATCATACGTACGTTGAACTTATTCGCTAGAATCTATCCCCCCCACCACCCCATCCCCTACCATGTACACCGGGTAGGTGGAGAAGGTCAGCCCGCAGGTGCGGAGCCCCCTGGAGGCGCAGCGCCCCGTGGACCCCGTGGGCTCCGCGGACACCGGCGTGGGGGCGCTGGGCCTGGCCCCATCCCGCGTGCGCCGGCGCCGGTTTGCTCCACGGGACCGCACCTACCTGGCCTTCCACGCCACGACCTCCCCCGACACCAAGGTGAGCGAGTTCCCCCCCCCCCTCCCCCCTCACCGCGCGCCGGCGTGCGTAGGTTACTAAACTAAAACTTCACAGGCTAAGAAGGCCCACTGAGCTATGTCGCTCGTTTTCAGAAGCGACCTCGGCAAAAATGATAGCTCAACGAAGTGGCTCATCGTCACGTGGACACTTATAGCAGCCAAACACTCCGAACGCGTGATGTTGATTGTAAATGTGGAGGGTAAAAACGGAGAACCCGGAGAAAAATCCACGCGACCACGGGGAGAGCGTGCAAACTCCAAATATTCAGCAGGCGTCAGGGTCGTGATTGATCCCACGACCTCCTGTACACCAGGCGCGGTAGTTCACCTCTCTTCACCGTGGTACCTACGGTGGCGAGACCTTACGGTGAAGGTGATGGTGCAGCCCGGCCGGTTTTCATGAAAATATCCCGATTTTTCTAGGGCCACATAGCTTGGGCACAATTTTGTTGCCGCCGGTTCTGGCTGCATTTCCCCGCTTGCATGTACGTGGGTGTGTCGAACTTTTTTCGCACCGTACGTAGCCAACCGTGCTAACTGTAGGTGCTAATCGGAGGTATGTGGTGACCCGCGCCTCTGAATCGTTCTTTCGCTGTCTCACCTTTTCTCTCTCGGAGAGTGAACAAATACTGTGCACGGAACACATTCTAAATTCTTCTTATCTTGCTCGTACCACCACCGGCGAAGAAAGGCTTTCACTGGACGGAGATACTGTACAGAGTCCCTCCTCGAGGTTGTTTGTTTGGCTTCCTCTTCCACACTGGTCAAACGTTTTGGTAAAGGTGAGAGTACCTCACAATTTACCCCACCACTAACTGTGGTGCACCCATTCATACTGATGCCGGGAGATCGAACCGTTCCAGTGTGCTGCTAATCACGACACCACGGCCAATTTCCCACTTGTGCAGTGGTGGGCGGGGCTGCGGTGAGCTGCCATCCCTGCCCTCTGTGAGCCCCACCCACTTTGCGATAGCCACTCCCACTCCGTCACTAGCCCCCCACCACACAAAGCCCCACCCAACCACCCATGGTGATTGGCTCTTTTTTTGACACCGGTCTCACCCACTTATAAGCCCCGCCTATTCCGCTGCTAACACCGCCCACTTCCCAAGTGGGCCCTCCTCCACGACCTCTGGCTCTTTGTTATCACAAAGTCGAGCTTGAAGCCAAAACGTTTCTTTTTTATTTTTAAGCCGGGACAAATCCAGATTTGGAGTTTATCATGGGAAGAGGCAGGGCAATGGAAAAATCGAGATCGTGTGTGTCCGCGTGAGTGGATCGATACAGTGTTTGATATATAGACGAGCGCGTGGTGATGAAAACGATTTATCATAACGAGTGATAATGATCAGGAAATGGGAAGGGGGGGGAGGTGGGGGGTGGGGGGGAAGTTGGGAAGTCTCGCCGCTGTTCCCACGTGTGCTGCCAGATTCCACGCACGCGATACGTGACACCCTAGACACCCTTGCAAAAAGAGATGTTACCATCCCAAGGGATTCTCCGGATTAAATATTTGAATTCATAGCTAGCTGCCTTGCACGTCCATCAGACGTCCGTCCGTCCATTCCTCCATCTCTCCCTCCGGATGTGACGTTATTCCAGCCATATCGTATGAAAAATCATGCCCAGGCTAACTCAAGACCGCTTGAAGCGGAGGGATATCAAAAGTAGTGCCGCCCAAAAATGCCAGGTAGTCAATGAATAGGTATAATAAATCCCGATCCTTTGTCAATTCACTGGTGGATAAAGGCCTCCCCATGCTGTGTCAATCATGGGGATTCTTTGTCAACCATATTTCACCACGCTAGTGTCAGTATAGTTTGGTGAAGTCTGGGGGACGAAGGGGGGGGGGGGTGTCCCCCAGAACGGGTTATAACATCCCACTTGCCACTGATGTCATCCCAGGGCCGGGAATCAAACTCGGGTATCCGTGTTAAGGGCGCAGTGCGCTCGCCACTAATCCACCACTTCGATCCGAGCAATCCGCCCGTCAACGCACGACGTTGACCCAACGTTGGCATATTTTTCCACGTTGCTGGTCGTGGGTTTGTTTTTTTGTTTGTTTGTCTTGCGGCCTCGTTTGCCCGGATGTGTTCACTGTCAGCCTCGAAGTCCCTGTTGGCGTTATAATTTGCGAATTAAATACAATGGGTAAAGCGATCGTCACGTTCGCACATCGATGCATTTATCGAGTTGTGGTTTTTTTGCGTGCCCCCTCCTCCTGTATGTTACTGGCGAAACTGACGAATTGCGCTCTCTCGTGGACTCCGCCGGAAACGAATATATATTCAAAAATGTACATTTGTATAAGGAATCTATAGGTGACCTTTTCGACCAAGCTGTTCTTCAATGCAAGGCCCGCGGGCCCCTGGTGGCCTTTAGTGCGGCCCCTGGTGGCCTTTAGTGCGGCCCCCGACACTACACAAAGAGTGTAAACACCGCCCCATCGTCATCATCATCATCGTGCTGCTGTCAAACCCCCAAGTGGTTTCAAAATGTGTGGCCACCATCACACTGCTGATGGCTTATCAGAGAAAGTCGTGCCCCCAACCCCCCTGAAAAAAACACGGATTTAGACTGTCAAGGAATCTCATTTATTTGAGTCCTTACTTAGCGTGTATTCGCCGTGTGCGTGTGTGGGGGGGGGGGGGGGGGGGGGAAGCGGTAGTGTAGCAGTGCCATGCCACAAACCCGGCGACCCAAATTTGATTGCCGCTCACGGCCAACACAGGTGACAATTAGCTAAACCGGTCCTGGGCTTCCCCTAGGTCGGCTCGGCCTCAAATGAGTACCTGTTGCGGTGTGTAAACATTAGCATTGGGGATACAAAGACGGCGGGACGTTGTGCTGGCCACCCACAGCCTCGCGTGCTGTGCCAGCCTTCACAGTGGCTCGTTAACGCTACACAGGGGCGGGGTTGGGGAATCTTTGTCTGCGTGTGAGTGAATTCCTGGGAGCGGTGATGCAGCAGTTATCATACTGGGCCCTGAACCCAGCGTACCTGAGTTCGATCCCGAGCGAGACGGGAGTGTGAGTTGTGGGCCTAAAGTAAAAGCAAGTAGCCGCCCAGATAACATTCGTTGAGAACTTGTAAGACTCTGCACGTATAAATGTACACGGATGGTCAAGCACATTGGCATTTCAATCCAGAGGTTTCTGGTTGAGATCTCCCGGGGTGGCACAACTGTCTAAAATCCCTGCCTCCGCCTCTATCCTCCCAACGGTACACCACAGGGCACGTGTGGTGGGGTAAAGTGTGGGTACTCCCAGCTCTTCTGGAAGAGTATCCAGCGTGGAAGAGTAGGCCAATATACTTCCTCGAGGGCCTTCTGCTATACAGCTCCCTCTAGTGGAGGCCCTACCTCGCCGGGTATGATGGGGGTCGTGGGCTCGATCCCAACCCTGACGCCTGTATATTTGGAGTTTGCATGCTCTCCCCCAGTGGTCGCGTGGATTTTCCTCCGGGTCCTAGACATTTAGAATCAACATGCTCTGAGAGTATTTGGCTGCTAGACTTTTCTACATGATGACAAGCCACTTCGTTGAACCATCATTTGTGATAACCAGGTCGCTTTTGAAAGAGAGCTATATAGCTCAGTGGGCCTTAATTGGTAAAATTACAAATATAATTTTAAAAATATTATTTGAGTTTACCGCCAGAAGTGGGCGTGAACAAAGCAATTGCAAGGCTGCACCTTTGTTGTTCACCTGCATGTACGTATGTACATTCCAATTATTTCTCACCCTACGTTAACAACCGTGCAGCAGTAGGTAAATTCTGTGTAGAGCGAGCAATGTCCTTGGGCCGGCTTTGAGCATGTGTTGTAATGTAGTTTTGGTGAGATCGATGCAATCGGCAGCGTGCACATTGACAAACGAAACGCGTTCATCGCCGTGGCTCGCGGTCGTCCCCGATTGGTTGGCCACATCAGCCGTTGCTGGTCAATCACGCGCTGCACGCGGCCCAGACGGGGGAGCTCGTTGCACGGCGTCACCGGCTATTGAAACCGGCCGGCCGCCCCGGAAAATACTGCGAGCGCACAGAGTTATCTAATCTTGTACTCCCCGTCGTCTGCTTCGTTCGAAAAGAGTGGGGGGGGGGAATTGTGTGTCGCGTCACGGGTCCAAAGTTGGCAGATCATAAAAAAGTCGTCGCATGTTAGTACTCGGTTGGGATCACACGTAACAGATCATCGGCGCCATCCCCGCCGCTCCACGACTGGCAGACGAATGTCCACGTGCAGGCCACTGTTGAGTCACCTTGTGCCCGCGCCAGGGAGGGACAGCTGCCACTGGGGGTGCCCTTCGAATGTACGAGAGATGATGCATTTAAGCTAGTGCCATTATATACCACAGAGGCTTCGCCTCGCTTTGTGCGGGTTCGGTTTGTGCGATTTTGCGTCGCACATGCGGCTAACGTATTCCTACCTAAATTTCGCTATATTATGCGGTATTAATTCACTCTGTATGCGCCTATTCGGTCGAACGTGGGACACATTGTGTGTGTGTGTGTACTGTGCGGGCAACTCGCCAGGCAGCTGACTCGTTCTTCGCGTTGTGGGTTTGGTGACGCGATTTCGTATTTGTGCGCCCTTTTTATCATGGAACGCATCCACGACCGCACAACGCGAGAAAAACCTGGCGAATGCAAAAACAATATTTAAATTATTATTGAGTCCCATGTCACAACCCGGAGGACGTGCGTCTCGATGGTCCGTTCTCAAACCTGTGCATTTAAACCTACCGCGATCTAAGTTCAACGCCGGCACCAGATCTCGGTGCAAACCCCTTCCTGGTGCCACCCGAGCACACGGAAGCCAATTGCTTGCTGCAGTAAGCTACTTTTATGTTACCAGGTAAGCCCTACTGAGCTATAGAGCTCGTTTTCACAAGCGAGCTGGCTCTCACAAATGGTAGCTCAACGGAGTGTGGCTCGTCATCACGTGGACATTTATAGCAGTCAAATACTCTAAACGCACG